CTAGTTATGAAGCGAACAAGGGAATGTTACTTCAAGGCGTATACAAAGTGTTTAAATTTAGATAATAATAAATATGATCCCCACGCGAAGGGTTTAACATGGGGGACACCAGTTTACAAGCACCTTCAAATTCATAATTTTTGAATGTTTACAAACTGGTATTTAGTATCGAATAATTCACATGTTAAGTCGTTAGTGTGCATAATCTCAGTAAAAGTTGCTGAAATATATGGGTTGAGCACGGATTTTCACTTACCATCACATAGACGGATTCCACTGTCAATATCAAAAGCGCGCAGTGTTCAAAGTCTGCGTTATAACCAACCAACGTCGTTAGTCCATCCGCACAGTTTGCTAATTACTAATATAACAGTTTATTCCCTAGAATGATATTTAGTTTTTAGCTATGCTAACCACAAAGGACCCATTTATACAACCTGGAGCACCAATAAATTATCCACAGCTATATAACCAAGGCGTATGTCTATGCCAAAGCATTTCCGGGTCACCATGTTATGTTTAAAGGTAATATAAATCAATTCCACCAAGAATATTTGTTGTATTGGATTGATTTAGATGCTGAAATAATCATTAGTCCAAATGGCAGTATTTATGCAAAACTTTGAGCACCTTTTGTATTGGCCTAAGCAGCATCATTCAGGAGGTACGTTTGTTGTATATTAACTTTAATATGAAAAGATCTCTTGATACAGAGTATCAGAAAATATGTAGTATGGAGCTACTGCAGGTGAGTTGCGTTCCGGGCCAATATGTAAGTTGGTGGCTGGTCTAACCATCTGTTCAGAATGTCCCTGCTACTAATACTGTTGAAAAAGTTTAATCACTTCGTCGCAGACGAAAAATTGTGACCAATAGGTTAGGTAACCGTGAAGATGGTCCAGAATTGGCGAGTGTCAGCAGTCCAATAATTATTGGCACCGATGAGCGGGTATTAGTTCCACAAGATAATAATGTTCAAACCGAATTTGAGCGTCAGACGTTGACATGGAGCTGTTTCTGCAAGTGGGCAAAAAAAGAAGAAGCACAAACAGATACAAAAAAAGAAATTACTACGCTGTCAGATTCGGAGAAGAGAGAAGTCCTTATTCTTTTTGACTTATTCGTACTTTAAGTACATTTTCATGTGCATGTGTGGGGTCAGATACAGTTTTTCCATTGTAAGTTCCTAAAATTTTCTGTATTTAGGGTGTACCGTAGTGGTCTTGAGAGAAAAACCGTATTCATTAAGCTCATTACACTGCGAGGAGCCAGTACCCACACCCTCGCATGCAATCGTAAAGCCATCTGCATTAAAGGAACTGAGAGACTTTAATAGCTCCGATTCATACATTTAGAGATCTGGGTACATTCACAGTAGACGCAATGGCTTGACCATTGTTACGTGCCGATTGCTCCACTATGCTTCGTATTTGTGGATATACTACGAATGTCAAGAAATTTATGGATATCCGTGAATAGAAGGAATTCGTTGAGTAGACTTCGAAACTGAAACGGGGACATGCAAGAGCGGATAAAATATGGAAGCTTGCTTCATACCTTGCTACGCTGTACCATAAAGGGATCATGACCTAAGTTTAACGCGGTGCTTTTCGACACGTACAGTACACTCACGACTGAGCAGACTGTATGAGGGCATAGGCTCAAAAGTAGGAGCACAACGGGCGTAATGCCACGCAAAGGGCGGAAAAATGCGTTAGGGTTGAACATTCGCAATTAGTATCCCATCCGAAGCATACATATTGCTGAAGATGATCGTGCCATACTCAAGTACCGGGTGGACCACTACCTTGAATAAAAGTAGTCTAGCCTTAGTGGTTTATACCTGTTTAAGCAAAAGGCCAACCGAGAGCCTACACTTGGAGGCAAGTGACTGGGCATATTCCGTAAACGATAAGTTCCGAGAATACCTAATACCTAAATCACATGCTGAGCTATAAGATTGCAGCACAGAATCACCAAGGTGTAAACTGACGTTTGGATAAGAGTTATCGAAACAGAGAATTCCGCATTTATCAAAGTTAAGTGGAAGCTGCCATGTTTCACTCCAAGCAAACAAATTCATCAGGTCTTTCTGGATTCTATTAAAACCCTCACCTAGGGATGAGTGAGGAGAGCTGTACCCAATTTTTAAGTCGTCAGCAAACAGGTAGGGTTTACCATATTTTATCATGTCAGAAATATCATCTATGTAAAGGAGGAAGAGTGAGGGCCCAAACACACTTCCTGGAACGATGCCACTCAAAACAGGCTGTGGGGAGGAATAGGTGTGACTGAACTTTACTATTTGAGTACGCTGTCTAAGGAATGAGCTTATCCACCATAACAGAGGGTCACTAATTTCAGATGATTGAAGCTTCAGAATTAACCGACTGTGGAGCACTTTATCAAATGCTTTTTTTAGGTGAGAATAAAATATTTATCCATTTATTTATCAAGCCACGTCGTCCAGAAGAGACCAAAAGGGTGCTCTCGATTCAAAATTATGACCGATGCAGGCTGCCTGGTTTCAGGACGAGCAGATTATACGCCCGTCAAATTGCTACACTATGCATCATTATGGAGCGGAGTACTGAATGCCAGTTAACTGGATCTTTACCTCAACTTCATCGATTTTGAAAAAACTTTGATGGCCTTGATCGACAAGTAGTTTGACAGCTGCTTCAACACAACGGAATACCACGGACCCCTATTAACCTCACTCAACAGCTATGTGACGAGGGTGATGCTACATGTCAGGTGATTCACAACGTACAGCTCAGTGGTGCCCCTGAAGTTAGGACGGGAGTAAGACAAGGCTGCCTACTACCAACCTTGATCTTCACTATTATGGTCGACTGGATGATGCAACAGACAACTGTGTGGAGTGAGAAGAGGCGCACTCGCTGTTTAACAGATGAAAAGACCTTAGAAGATGTGCATTTCGCCTGTGATCGTATACGCCTAATGTCGCACAAACTCGGGGATTTACAGGTGAAAACCGACAATTTAACAGAAGAGGTAGAGGAGATGGGACTTCATTCAGGTGAATGTATAGAAGACCGTGAACGGGAGAAACCCAAAGGAACTTGTCTCTTTCGCCTATCTGGGCATCATTGTTTCAGCTACAGGCGGTACAGGCACAGATGAGGATGTCAAAACCAGAACCGGAAAGACAGCAAGACAGGCCTTCATTAACCTGAAGTCAGTGGGGAGATCGACTGCACTCAGCATGAAGCGTGAACGACTTCCGGATTCTCAACACTAATCTCAGTCACTTCAGTGCTTCTGTACTGTTCAGAAACTTGGTGCATTGCGAAAAGCATTTCCAAAAAACTATAGACATTGATCAGCGGCTGCCATCTCCTCTCGAGACTGAAGATCAGATGGTCAGAAAGCATAAGCGGCAAGGAACTCCTGCAATGAACCAACCAAGAACATATCACCCACCAAATATGCAGAAGAGAGTGGAGATAAATTGGGTATGCACTGGGAAGACCATCTGGAGACATCACGCACCTGGCCGGGCCATCGAGTGAAAGCCAGATGTCAAAAAGCGAGTCGGTAGTCCGAGGGTGACATGAAGATGGTGTGAAGGAGAAATGAAAGCTTCTGATCAGTCGTGTAGCCGGGTCAGGTTCAAAAGACTGCGGAGAAGAGAGCGAAGTGGCGACGTGCTACTGAAGTCCTACGTTCCACTAGGAACCCAAGGGACAAGTAAATAAAAATATAAAATATCAGTGAGTACTCGGCTTGTGACACAGCATTTATTCCTTCAGCCCAAGCAGTCAATCCCTGATCAGTCTGGGTATTCTTCCTGGTTCGTTTGATAACGGCATTCAAACATTTCACAAAAAATGTGGCTTATCACTGCTTCTGTAGCGTGGCTCCTCAGTGCATCAAAACCCTAACCCGAAGCATCATACGGACTCCGGTCATGAGGTACAGTGGGGAGGTCAAGACTGCTTAGTGGCGGACTGATAGAAGCTGTAGGCTCAGCCAATTTCCTGGTTTTCCCAAGTGTACGCCGGGTATCGTGAACAGATACCCGCCTATCTATCTATGCCAGCTTTACTCACTTCCATTCTTTGTGTAGCCCCCATTCTTTGTGATGGTTCACTTTCTATGACGCTGGTTGTGTCGTCGTCGACGTCGGTAAAAATATTCGGAAGTGCCTTAGAGACCATACCATAAGCAAACTCTTGAGTCAAAGTGACCAGTGGTTTGAAACGGCAGTCGCACAACCAGGAAGACACAAGTCTGCTGCACTGACTATAGGATATGAGTGTTAGTTCAATACGCACGTGGTGGAATCAGCTCCCACAGCTATCACATTGCATTCCCCCTACAGCTGGGAATTCTCACCCTGGTAAACCACACAAGGGTTCGCAACCAAACGCAGTATAAGAATCAAAAGTAAACGAACATAAAATACCCAAACAAATGGAATGCGCAGTGAGGCTTAAACACACGAAATATGCAGAAACAACAAACTTGAAAAACAAGTTAGAACACAAAAACCGAATGCTTGATTTCAGGCAAAAACGCAAGAAGTCTGTCCTCAACCGGAGTATTTCCGATTGAAGTCAACTATGTGGAGAACACAGCAAACATCAAATTACTTTCAGGCCTCAGAAATGCCAATCTCCTTAATGATGCGCACGCGTGTCAGAGTGGTGACATAACACTATATATTCGGGAAGGCATTCAAATACTTTCGATGGTGTCAGAAGCGCTTACCAATTGCACATGTGGAGAAGCATATTGCGATATTAAGTCGGATAAGGGCATCGTTACTCTCGGAGTCGTCCATCGTAGTTCCAATTGCCTAGAACTATAAATGATGGAAAAAAATTAACGAGATGCATAAATTTTAGCACTGTAATCGAAAATAACCCTTCCGATATGCAGCTAAGTGAAAAAAGTGTTTATAGGTTGTATGCATTTCAATCCATGACACTGAAAAAGAATGCCAAATCAGCCCTCTTGTGTTTTTCCATATCACTATCTAAGGTTTAAGAAGTTGCGCCTTTTTTAGATCGGAAATGGATATGACATTTTCGTTTGCATCTGCGTCCGTTGTTGAGCATGATTGCCTTCGTAACGTAGTAAAATTAGCAAAAGAAAACAATGTACATCTTCCAGAAGAAACTTGCTGGCTTCTTTTGGATGCTTGTTTGTCGAAACTACCTATGAAGAAAACTTATCAACTTCTTGATGAATGTAAGTTTATTAGTTTTGTGACTACTTCGTTGTTCAGTATACAGCACTGAAGAGATAAGATTTCCGGAAGGTTGTGAGTTTGCTGTTGAATCGATACGGGCACGTTCAGTCAATAAGGTAGTGTCCTTTTCTTATAATACATTTTCAGGGTAATGTTTTTTACTATGTAAAATGGGCTGGATGGCCACCCGTATTCAACACATGGGAACCGGAATCTAACCTTCGTGGATGTGAAGATCTCATTCAGAAGTTTGTTGACTCATATGGTTCACTGATTGGGATGCTTCCGGTATGTTGCCACATGCGTGTTTTAAACTTGTTTAGCCGGAGTCTCAACCAGATAGAAAATCTCAGATTAAAGAAGTAATAGATCGACTTAAGGAGGCTATTGATCCGACGGGAGAATTACCGTTGTATTTGCTTGAGCGCTTCGCTAGTCTCCAGCCTGATCGTACTGACAACTTCCGACCATATAAACCTCCACCTATGATAAGCATTGAAAAGCTTTTGTTTTCCCAGTCAGTCGGCAGTACTGCAGAATCTGTTTCTATCAAACGACCTCCGAACGTTTCAGACCTTCTGCCATTGTCCGCTAAGCGCTTTCGCCTTAGCAGAAAGGATAGACAAGTTTTAAATTCCGCTTTAAACGCATTCCAACAAAAGCTTAGTGCTGTCTACTGTGATGAAGCACCTATAACTGTTGAAAATTCTGTAGATTCTGAGTGTAAGTCTTTACTTTTCGTTTAAATTTTGTTTGACGACTTCTCGAAATTCGTCACATGGTATCTTAACAACATACATCGTACGATACTGTATTTTGGTGATAACTAGCATAGTTAGGTCATCAATTTTTAAACTGTTGTCGTTCTAAAGAAGTGTTAAAAGAATGTGACGGTTGCGGTCCGATGGCCTCATGTTATGAGACCTAAAACGTATTCTTTGCAGCGTTCTTTGAACAGTTCTTTCGATTACCGAAATCGGTGCGGGAATGCTACTACTACTACTATCATCGAGACACTTAGAATGTAAATCGGATTATTAAGTAAGCATAACCGTAGAACTGAGTGGATAAGTGTTGAAGATCGGTCACAGGGAATTTTTCAAATTCTGTCTTGGATTTAGATGTGCAAAATTTTCGCTTGGAAAAAAATCTTATACGACCAATATCAAGGTTTTGAGAGAAAGAATCTAATCTTCTTAACTTCTCCTAAGAAAGTAGTGTAGGATCAACTGGAGAAACTGGTTTTCTCTGGGAAACAATTCACTACTACCACAGTGGTATGGCAAAAATTACAATTTAACTCTCAGTCCATTCTTTTATAGTTATTCTGCTGTGAAATGAATTTGGCTAGCTTTAGGTTTATTGTTTTCCGACAGACCTTCGTGATTTGTTAGCAGTTCAATGAGCGAGACCAATGGGGTTGACCACCAATGCATGTTAATATCTGAACTCGAGTCAAGTGAAGATTGTTACATGATTTACTCAGGTAGCTAATGCGGTGCACATTTAGAAATATATAGCTTATCTACAGATGTAGCTGAATGCTGCTTACTCATTCTTTGCAGTGTATGCGTCTGTTCTTTCTATTTTCCTCGGTTTTCACATGCTTAGAAAGTTTATCGGTGATATACAGGTCTATGGACGTAGCTGAAGATCACATTATGGATGTACCAACTCATCCGAAGTGTCGTTCACACTCCGAACACTTTAGTTATCACAACAGTCCTCGAAATAGAAACGCTTTACAATAACAGATGCCCTTGTTGTTGTTCTGTATTCTGACTCGTATAGCGATTATTTTGAATCATGCTGTATCTATATTTTGTTGAATTCGTCAATAGTGCAGATGAGGTAGTTAGTGAAAGCTGGACTGAGAGACTTTTCTGCTACTTTCTGACCTATTTTTGTGTTTTATGTTTGAAATGAGTGTATAGATTGTCGTTGCATTTAGAAGAACTTTGCTTCTCATATAAATAGCGTAATTGTGATGGGGTACAAGGAGCCAACATTCAACCAGTGAGCTACAGGTTAAGAACCCACTTCTCTTCTCAAGGTTTGAGTAACCTGGTAGTATCATGTCATTACACAATAAACGTTGCAATACCTAGTGTTCAAACTCGTATGTGGTTACGGGGAACTGACTTTCAACCAATGGGTTACCGGTTCCAACACCACTCCACCTATCCAGGTTTGGTCAACCATGTCTTGGTGGGTTGATGCCCCCTTTTAGTGAAGAGATACCTAAATGTATGTTGAAGAATATAAGCGTACTGCGCAACAACAGATTTAAAGAGGCTAAATGCATCTCGCTGGTGTAAAAGTAGATTTTACTCGCAGTAATATCGTTATATACGAAGGTGTTCCCATTGCAAACTGAGGTTTATGAAAGAAACATTATCATTCTGAAAAAGTTATTGCAAGTGAGACTTCGTCTGTTGCGCATAAGGTATTTGCAATTCAATGACTTGTATATCTTTAGGATAGCTTATATCCTTCAAAGTCATAAGACATTTGTATTTAAGTCATTGTACAGGATCACCACTAATAAGGGAAATTAGGTTACAGACAGAATCATCAATAACACTTAACAACTAGTTATTCTGCAAATCGTTATACTAAGTTACGAGTTTCTTTCATTTTTTCGAATGGAGCACTTTCTACTTCCGTGTAGATGCTTGAAGTGTGTTATTCATCATCTCATTAAGTGTAATGACCTAATGCGTGCTTGTTTATTTGGTTAGTGGATTTTACCGTTTTCACTTCCGTTTTTAACAAGTAACTGTGTTTTGTTTACACCAGTTACCAAGCAGACTCAAATGAGATTTCTAGTTAGCATAAGAGAATAGTAAAAAAAGGTATTGTTATGGGTAGAAATTATTAGTTAGCTTTGCCGTAATTGTTTCTGAAGCTTCGAAGTCGATAAGCCCAGGATTGTTGGCAGGATATTGACTGGATCTTAACACTCTATCACTTCTTAGAATGCAGAGATATTCAGAGCCTGGAAATTGAGTTCGATTTTATTTTTATTCTCTCATATCTCGTGTGTAAATTACTGAGGTTGATGTAACCTCAATGTCTAAGTGTACAACAAAGGTTTATAAATATTGTAGGTCAGGATTATCAGGTGATTAAAATGTTTCATTCAGGTGAAGTTTCTGTTTACTAGTTTCTAATATTCGTTTGTTGGGGATTACAAGTTACTCGAATTAACGTGGTTAATATTGTTAATGATACTTGTTTTCTATAAGGGATAAACGTTCTCACTACTTCAATGCTTAAATTTTGTCGTAGAGCTAGAATTGGAAGTAGTTCTGTAGCAATTGGTCATACTGACTGATATGCATGCAATATCCTGTTGTTCCAAGACACCGATAATCTGGTCTTTTTGAATTTCTGATGTGAATCACTACCAACTAGGGTAGCTAAGATATTTCACACAATTTGCCATTTTAGTATGACTAATTTAGATACAATCAAAGAAGAATATCTCAAGATATACCATTATAACCTATGAAGTCTTAGATCCTTGACGTAAGTAGTGCATAAAACTGTAGGCTTCTTGGTTGCTCACGTCTTGAAGGTATTAAAAATTGGTGTTAGTTGAGGTCAGTTGTCATTTTGTAGGTACATACATCTCCGTTAATAACCCATCGTTTTATTCCCCAACTTCAGCTCTTACTACTAATTCTGCACGACTGTTACTGTTATCAGTCTCATTGTTTACCCTCTGATTTTTCATCAGTTTAGCTTTTGTGAGGCATAACTAAGTCAATACTCTGACTTTTCTTAATGCAACTCAAAGATGTATGAAGTTCTATTGAAATTAGTGGTACTGAAGTCACATTAGCCTTTATGAATTGGTTTGAGCATAGAATGATTATTTTACAATGGTATAATCTGATGTAATTTTAACAATAGAAGCTGAGTAATGCATGCTTTCGTTTTCGTAATTCAGCTAGTCATTAGCTTAAGGAGTAAACTTGTCAATCTTTGACCACAACACTGATGGACATGGGTTCACCTCTCGGATGGGACATCAGTTTCCTGGAGATTGCAGATATCCCTTGCTGACAAATTTTAGTAAGCACAAAAACTAGGTCAAACAGAGCTTCCTACCAGTTACCTGGTAATAAAGATTAAATTTTCGAGCAACAGGTCCTGATTTGAACAAATAGAAATAGTATCATAAGCCTACAAACAATTTGTGTAGCTAATAGCACCGTGCATCGTAGCTTGTTTATGTTCATTTTGACAGTTTTCATAGAACACGTATGCCTGGTGGTAGATTGATAATAGGCTGAACCATTTTATGAGTAGTGTTGAACTCAGGTGAAGGGTACTAAGCAAGACAGACAAGTTGATTAATGAGGCTGTAAAGCTTAGTCGACTGAGATGGCTTGGAGATGAACTGTGCATACCGAGCCATCACCTAAGTCGAGACGTAATGCTATGGGAAGCTGGATTAGGTTGGAAGAAGGTTCAAGGTAGTCAGAACAAGACGTGGCATCAGTCGATGGAGTACCTAACTCTGTTGACCGGTTCAAAGTTATTTGAAACATATAATGTCATAACCTAAGGGAGACTTCATAAACTTGTACTTTAATTTTAAGTGTATTACAAACACTCAGTTATCTTTATTTATTTGTTTCATACCATACATTTTTCGCTGAAAATTTCTGAATTCTAGGTCCTCCTGTTGAATTTCAACCAATTCCGGATTATTTGCCTGGGCAAGGAGTATTTTTACCAACCAAAGCTCCAATTGGCTGTGAATGTACACTAGAAAACTTGGATAGATCAGAATTGGCAAAAATTTCTAAAACAGATAGTGGTGACAGTTCAGCAATTATATATCCTTGTTGGATTAATAGACGACGTAGTTGTTGTGCCGTCCATGCTGGTGCAGTACCTCCATATGATAAACGCAAGAGATTAATTGCTCCACCTGGTCATCCTGTTTATGAATGTAACTCCTTGTGCGTTCATTGAGAACTGTTTACATAACTTATATATTTGACTGCATTTTCTGTGTATAAAAGATGATTGAGACTCTGTTGTCTATCCTTATATGTTTTAGTTAAACTTGATTCGACACCTTCTATAGTAACGTAGTCAATACTTGATGGAGTTACCATATTGGCAGTGTAAAAGTTAGGAGAAGGATACTAGACAAGTGGGGCAATTTGGTCTATGAAGTTATGAACTTTCAGCAACTGAGGTCGTTAAAGCGTTTTTCGCACATACCGACCTACCCCCAACCTCGACACCCAGTGGTAGCAGAGATTTGATTCGGTTGTAAGTAGGCTCAGGGTATCCAGAACAGACGTTACACTAGACTATGAAGTTACTGAATTTTCTTTCAAGCTGTGTAGAGAGGTGTAGACTACTTGACTGGGGTCTACAAGATGACAGAAACCAGTGATTGTGGATGACATGGCTGAAAATTGGTCAGTATGGCTTAGATTTATTCACTCTTTGACGTCTTCCGAAGCTTGAATATTTTCAGTAAACTTCATTTTTGAATTCCTTTTCCTCCCAACCTTCTTTGTTTGGCTTGATATCAGTCTGTTTCTATCCACCTTTTCTTTGCAAACTAATGTAGAGTGTTGCAACCTAAACGATACACTTGTGTACGAGGTCCTGCGTTCATTTTGTCTGTATGTCAATGTTTCAGTTGATGATATATAGCTGTCTTCAATATTAGAAACACAGTATTTTACCTTCAATACTTTCATATACTCTCTTCTAATCACTATTAAAAACAGTTCCATTGAGTGTGTTGTTCCTCAACTGGTCTAGATAGGGTGAGATATTTGTACAAATTCTCATTAATTCAGATTATGATGTGATTAAACGCTACACAGAAGGTCTACTATAAGGACCTTTACATAAGCAAATAAATATGCAAAGGATCCAGGTATTGGAGTCACTGTTGGTTCATCTATTTGCTTTTAATCATACTCTATTTTTACCTTCATCTAACTTGAAAATTGCATAGTTTGCCAACAATTCTTCGTCTATGCCTTTGGACAAACCATTTTGACAAGATCACGCCTTGTATTCGTTTTCTCTTTTATAATCAGATTGATGCATATGAGTCGCTGAAATCCTGCTTGTTGATTAGTGTGGTTAACTAAAATATTAAACCCTAGGTAGTTGAAATTTTAATTGCCCAACTAACAACAAGAAGCACCAATCACCATCAACGGGAGAAATCTAAAGGAAGTTGTCTCTTTCACCTATCTAGGCAGTATCGTTTTAATCAGAGGTGGTGACACAGATGAGGACGTCAAAGCAGCCAAGATCAGAAAGATAGCAAGACAGACCTTCATTAACCTGAAGTCAGTGTGAAGATCTACTACACTCAGCATAAAGAGTGAACAACATCCGGATTCTCAACACTAATGTGAGTCAAGTAAGTCAGTGCTTCTATGTGAGATGGTTGAGAGACTTGGCGGCGCATTATGGAAGGCACTTCCAACAAACTGCACACATACATAATGAACAGCTGCCGCCTACACTCGCTCACTCGAAAGTGAAGATCAGATGAGATGAGATGAAATGGCCAGAAAGAATAAGTGACAAAGAACTCACTCTGGCTGGCTGGCTGGCAACGAACCAACCAACAGCTCATCACCTAACAAATATGCAAAAAAAAGTGGAGTTGGATTGGATATATAATGAGAAGACGATTTGGGGACATCATGCGCCAGGCCAGGCGAGGCGAGGCGAGGCTGTCGAGTGGAAGGTAAATGGGAAACGACGAGTTGGGCGTCGGAGGATGACATGGTGGCGATTGTGTGTGAAGAAGAAATGAAAGCTTCTGAGCAGTCGTGGAGCCAGGTTAGAAAGACTGCAGAGAAGAGAATGAAATAGCTATATGGTACTGAAGTCCTATATTCCACTAGGAACCCAAAGGTTAAATGATAATAATCGAAGGTAAACTTTACTAATATGTCCTAGTAAGTAAGAGACACTGAGAATACTAACTTGCGAGTTAAAATTTAGGAAGGTATATGTGAAAAATCGGCTAGTTAATGAATTTCAAATCAGAACCCGTGTTATACTTACACAAGCCTATATCAAAGCATTTATTTTGTAAAAGAGTAGTATACATAACGGATTGACATCATTGGGAGAACCATTTGAAATAAATAGAATCCACATAGACCACAAATCATGTATATGAAAGAGTCGGTAGTATGATCAGTAAAAATATTGTAAGTAATTTCTATCATTGGTTAACGTGATAAAATCTTCATCTTACACCTGACTGCCTTTTTGACTAGATGTACTGATATGATGAGGTGTGACAACTCGAACTGTTACACAGTAATTGCTTGGTCCTAGGTTGATCTAGATGGATGGAATCATTGAAACACTTTATGTTGCCTTCTTGAAAAATAAATAAATAATATACTCTCTTTATGTTCAAAATTTTTTAGATGTCCATGTGATTCATTATGCCCATTTCGTGTTGTACAATTGGGACGAAAAGTTCCATTATGCATTTTTCGTACACGAGATCGAGGATGGGGTGTTAAAACAATGGTTTCCATTGGAAAGGGAACTTTTGTTGCTGAATACTTAGGAGAGGTATGTTGTGTTTTTTTGTTGACAACTATGGCAGTTTAAGCTAATAATTGGTTGAGATATTCTATTGATCATTGTATATATCATTGTTATGATTTCGAAACTGCTATACGTTATGTTCGCTAACGATGCATAGACATCGAGTATCAGCCATCAACCTTCCACAAATTCTTAGTTGATTCTCGACCCAACTGATTAGTGGAGAAGATACGATGGACGTATAGAAACGTGTATCAGGGTCGAAAGATCGAAGGCCTAAAAACAAAGGAAAAAAAAGTCCACTGTGTCTCTGTCTAACTGTAGACGTCGTCCCATCAAGTAAATTTGGATTGGTCTCTCTCTCCAGACTAGTCATTTCTCTCTATCCTCATATTACCTCCATCTTTGAAAGAATATTATTTGGGCTTAGACTAGGCCGCACTGCTTTTTTCTTGGATCTATCTGACCCACGCAGTGGGGATTTTACCTTTTTTACTGGGAGATCAGTAGTCTTCTCGATATTCTCTTGGCAGACAGGTGCATGAACATGAAAGTAAGCGATCAAGCCGAGAGATTCACCTACCGATCGAGAGTGAGATCTGCGGTGATATCTGGAGGATGACCTATGTACATGTCGTTTTGTGTGTTGGTGGCAAAAACCGTCTTTATGGCTCGCAGCATTATAGTTCCAGCATCGGTGTTGTTTAGGTGGACAAGATTTGACGAAATGCCAGGCACTACAATGCCAGTAAGGCGATGGAGGTGTCTTCCTCGAGGCTTGGTTGGTATGGTATGAGTTACTGGGCCGATGAACAGGCGAGATAAGCCCAGGGTGTGTGTATGCAGAGGGTGATGCGGAGGAATGAGATGTCTGGTTCAGTGTATGTACTTCAGATCCACGTAGCTGACATCAGTCCCTCAGTCTTCAATCACAAGGACTCCAACCGTTCAATTTGCACCTCTTCCACATGGCTCTTATACCAACAATCAAAGATGCCATGGTTTAGCCTAACCACAGGGAACCTTTTCTCAGGCGAAACCTACTTCAGCTAACAGTACACAATGAAGCCAATGCTGATGAGGATGACGTGATTTGTTCTGAACAATAAAATTTACTACCTTCAGCCTACATGAAATCAATTTCGTGGATAGTTCAATCTAAACTTGTATATACAACTGATTAGTAAGGTGAAAAGTGAATCAATTTGATGTTGTTTTAACTCTTGAGGTATTTACTGCAAGAATTTCGTTGATATAATATGTTCAATGATCAATTTTTGTAACTATGACAACTTACTGATTATAAACTGATTACATTAAACCAGGAGCTAGATATTTTATTATTTTTCGGATAAATATATTAACCTAAAGCATTGTATGAACTAGTTTGCAAGGTTATAAACCCATGATTAGGTCATTGGAACCATTGAATCACATTGATTTGTAAGCTATACGTTGATATAACGTTATATTTTGTTTGAAATCTCTCGAAAGTCTTGGATTTCACCTTCTAGGTCATTGTTCTCCACAGAAAGTTTAATTTAAACATCAATACTCTCACTGTTTGACAAAGAAGTGAAGAAGAGTGCTCGCAAAGATAAAAGACACTTCTACGACACATTGGCAAGTGAAGCAGAACAGACTGCTGGTGCGAGAGACCTGACAACAATATATATATATCAAATAACCAGGTTACTATCCGGGGAGAGATCAACTCAAACGAAACCCATAAAAGATAGTGAAGGAAAGCTAGTTAGCAAAGAGGAGGAACAAAGAGAACGATGGGCTGACTACTCCAAAAAGCTCTTGAATTGACCACCACCTGCAACTCGTCGAGAAGTACCACCAGCAACGGCAGAACTACCAGTGAACATATGCCCTCCGACAAAAGCAGAAGTCCTGAATGCCATAAAGTTGCTGAAAATCCGGAAGGCAGCAGGACCAGATGGAATTTCATTAGAAGCACTTAAAACACGCAGATAGAACACCGGACATGCTCACACCACTACTGCAAAAGGTTTGGAAGGAAGGAAGGAAAGGTGTCTGCCAGTTGATTCGAAGAAGGGCTACCTTGTCAAACTTCCAAAGAAGGGAGATCTAGGCCTTTGCAAGAACTGGCAAAGAACCATGCTGCTGTCCACCGCAAGCAAAATATTATGCCGCATCAATATGTGTAAAATTTGGGCACTGTGGTCGAGTGTAATTCCATTTCAGTCTGTTTATTAGAAATATCACACAGTGAAACAGTAGCATTTACTGGATAACGTTTCGGACATAATTTATTGTCAATATTCATATCAGGTAACTCCACAACTTCGAGACAGACTCTACATAGTCCTATTTTTTTCTTGTTCTCTGTGATGACAAGGGTAGTAGAATTTTCCATATACCTGGGACAGGTGCAGCATCATTTCGATTGCATGTGTTTGATGTTGATTCGATAAACAAAGATTCCGTTATCAATCTCTCCCTCCACCCAACTAAGTTAGTTTTCAACACTGTCACCCTATCCCACCCTACTGCATGATTGTGTATCATCTCATGCAGAGCTATGCCGCATCATCCTGGAGAGACTAAAAGATGTCCTGGATTCAAGATTACGACCGGAACAGGCTAGCTGGCTGGCTTCAGGAAGAACAAATCACGTGCGGATTAAGTTGCAACGCTAAGCTGTGCATCATCATAGAACGGAGTATAGAATGCAGTCAACTCCGTACCTCAATTTTATCGATTTTGAAAAGGCCTTCGATAGCGTCGACCGAGAAGTAATTTGGCAGTTGCTTCAAGACTACGCTTTTAGGGCCACAAATCTTTATTAACCTCATTCGACAACTATATGAAGACGCCACAAGCCGTGTGATTGACAATGGAAAGCTCAGTGATGCGTTTGAAGTGAAGTGAAGACAGGAGTAAGAGAAGGTTGCTGTCTACTATCACTCATGATCTTCGTGATTGTGGTGGATTGTATCATGCAGCAGACAACTGTGAGGAGTGAGAAGATGGACATACGCTGGCTGGACCTATGAAAGATCGTAGAAGATTTGTATTTCTCCGATGATGTTGATTTACGTCTAATGTCTCTTCTCTCACAAACTTGAAGATGTACAGACGAAAACTAACAAGTTGACAGAAGAGGTTCTGAGTGATTTTCAGTCATTCGCATTAAGGCGACCTGCTTATATCTTGGTCTATGATTATATTCCATTATATTCTTCTCTTTTACTGTATTTTAGTCTTTTAAATATCTCCTGAACACATCATATACTCTCATAGATTTTTAAAATATTTTCAAACTTTTGTCTCTCAAGCTAAGAACAGAGTAAAGGAAAAAAAAACATTCCATCGGCTAAGAAATGGATTTTTGTAAATGCTCAAAAATACCATCACATTACTATTCCTAAAGATACCTACCTATATGGAATTTTAAATTTCTGTACTGATTGACTGGCTAAACTGCCATCATCAAGGTGACACTGGATAGTGTATTGATTTCTGAATCGAGAATAGATGCTTAATGTAAGACTAAGCTACGCGTTTCACACTTATGCCTTAAATACTGTTGTTATTATTAACACTATGCAGATGTGATAATTATTTCTCTTAATCATTTTGTATGGAAAGCGAATGTGTTGAAATACTCCATGCTGAAAACTACATACTGTATTCAACGACAAGATATATACAAACAGATGAAAGGAACTCCAATAGGATCACCGATATCCGGATTAATAGCAGAAGCAGTGATGCTGCAGAGACTGGAAGCCATTATTCTACTTGTGATCAAACCAAAAATTTGCATTCGTCATGTAGACGACACTTTTGTTATCATTAAAAAGGATGATATAGAAAACACCCACTAACTACCATTCCTAGATGTGTTTTAGTCAGTAGGACAAATGCCGGAAAGCTGGAAACCCAAGTGTACAGGAAGCCAACACACACAAACCAAATCCTCAACTACAATAGCAACAACCCAACAACACACAAAATCAGTTGCCTACAGACTCTATTCAGAAGAGCGAGAACACACTGCAGTACAACAACTTCACGAAGAAACGAAGAAAATTACTTGATGTCCATCCTAAAGACGAACGGCTACCACGAAACTCTATCAGAACATGCCTGCCTATCCCGTACATCATCAACTACAAAGTCATCGACAGAAATCAAAAACACATCATCCTACCATACATAAAGGATATATCAGAAATCACGATAAGATTACTGAGACCACTTGGAATTGGTGTGGCCACTCATCAACTAACAAATTCCCTGTAAACACTGTTATGCAGACCAAAGGATGCAACAAGCAAAAAAAACAAACCGGATATCATCTAGGAAATCCACTGCTATAACTGTAGTCAACACTACATTGGACAAAGCGGCCTCCCTCTTTGCCTTCGTCTACGTGAACACCAATTGGCTATTAAAAGCCACGACATTTCGTCACTCATTTCAATCCACGTGGATAATTATGGACATGAATTGAATTTCGACAATGTAGAAATCTTGGATGGAGAGAGGAAACACAAAGAATATGAGAGAATTCCTAGAAGCTTGGCATTCAGGTCAATCAGTCAGTCAGCAATCAACAGATGTATAGACATAGATCCAATCTATCAACCAATAAAAAAAATGATAAACGACAGAAAGGTGAGAGGTCAAGCACAGGGACAGCCAACAGAAAAGTCTATACAGTCTATCAATGATATAACAATCGAATGAGACAACCAATCACAGACGACATCGTCAGAGCAAGCCACTTAATCACTGATGGAGAGATATTGACAGGTCACTTCATACTGAAGTTAGTGTTGTGGATGGTGTCTCTGTCTAGAAGAAAGACGATGAAAGCTTCATGATTAAACAACTCAGCTCTCTCAGAGAACACAATACAACCAAGGCCATCCACCTGAGCTACAAATATTCTCCATTATACGTATTTTTGTGGAATAAAGCTATTATAATAATTATTATTATTCACATAGTACTAAGTTGGAAGAGATGATGTAAGCGGACTTATTGATAAGCTAGGCAAATATTAAGCTTTATAGTCGCTGAAAATTCCAGCAGTGAAGAATGTTGTAAATCTCCGTCGTCGATTGGACTGATATTATCAATCATTATTAGTATATAGGCTTCTATGCGGATGTCTCGATGTTGCCTGTATTTTCATTCTTAATATTATTGACAGATATTGGCTATGAATGGAATATTATTTGGGACTTGTCAGCTGGATGTACTTGCCTTCTGATGAGTGATTTTCTTCCCATTAGGACTCAAAACCAAGGCCAATCACTTCAAACGTCAGAGCGGCCTAGCCTGGTGCATAACTCTCTGGTGTTTGGTCGTGAGTTTGAACTTTAGTGGGGGAGGGGGGGGAGCGACACCATCATTCACTGGGAGGTAAATACTTTCAGCTGACGAATCCCAAGTGGGACGAAATACGCGTTCTAGATTCCACTGGTAACCACTATATATATATATTACTCATCATGAAGGGTTTGATGAATACTTCCATTTATACTATGTGTATATCTATCTGTCGTCTGTTGAGTGATTTCTGTAAAACTTTCACCTTTTATAGATCTTGACTTTTGATGAGGCTGAAAAACGCGGATTGATATATGATAAACAAACTATGACTTATCTCTTCGATTTGGATTTTGAAGGTGATGCACATTATACTGTAGATGCTTCTCAAATGGGTAATATATCACATTTCATCAATCATTCGGTAAGTATATTCTATGCATTCAAATAATCTTTAACTATCTGTTGAAGCTGTGACTTAATTATTTAAGCCCTTTGACTTACAACCAAGTAGGTCATGCATTCAAACACAACTGTTCACTTACTGATGCTAGAGGAGTTAGTCGGTGGTATCAGTCAGTCGCCCCCCTCACACATAATAGGTGCAGCTGACGACTGTTTACCGCATGAACGTGCTCAAGATTATTAAATGCATTTTGTTCGTTAATTGTTCATTAACTAACTGATTTCTTATCATATGGTTATCTGAGATAGCTGTAGTTTGATAGACTAGTATTTATACTGGATGATAAATGAAGGTGAAATGAAACTTTGAATCGCGGCCGGGTTCGAACCAGTGACCAATGGAGTTTCCGGCCCGATGTTCTACCAACTGAGTTACGATGCCCGATCATTGACCTGATATTTATTTCACTTAAATCACCCGACTACCATGTGAATTCGTGATGCATTACTACTGCTTGATCATATTTATACACTGGTTACCCAGTCAGTCAGGACTTCTCATCCCAATCGACAAGAGCAAAATTCTTGGTGATGGGAGTGAAATAATCTGCTTAACAGTCGAACCTCGTACCTCAGTCGGTGTAGAGCTTCGGGCGGGAAACTCCGATGGTCGCTGGTTCAAATCCCACCGTGGTTCGAATTTTCATTTCACCTTGAATTTCTGTTTAAATGTCTGATGAATAGTCTTACTTTTCTCTGTTGAGTAGCTTTTTCACACTTCTAACATGTAAATATAAGCATATTGACGTTAAAGCTGATGATTTAGGAAAACCTAGGAGCACTGGACAACAGTTGTTTCGTCCTAGTGTAGGACTCCTCAGCAGTGCACACCCATGACCCCGCCCCGCCAGAGATCGAACCCAACACGTTACCATTGAGCCACTGGGTTGGAATCCCATGGTCTGTATACTAGGAAGAAACATCTGTTGTCCAAGTCCCCAATGTTCCTCCAACTGATGTCAGTTCATGATGGATACCAAGCTGAAAAACTTCATTAATTCAGAAAACATCTTTCCAGTAAAAAATTACAAAGAAGTCGTGACTGATTAGTTTAGGAGGTGGATCATGGGTTCAAAAACCATTCCAAATACTGAGGTTTAGGTGAGTTGGATAAAAGTATACAAATTAATGCGCATATTATACCTTTGCTGAAGAACTTCCTATTGATTTTTAGTATTTTTTTGATCTGAAGTTTAGATCATTAAGTGAACGATTCAATCAATTGATTATGGATATTTTCTTTCATACCAATTAGTAATTGTTTGTGAAGAAGTTGATTAATGATCTACTCTGCATTATTTGTAACCTGGCTCTACGGCTGCCCACAAGCTTTCATTTCTTCTTCACACACAATCTCCTCCATATCATCCTCGGACGCCCAACTTGTCGTTTCCCCTTTAGGTTCCACTCGACGACTTGGTGCGTGATGTCCCCAAATTGTATTCTCAGTGTATGCCCAATCCATCTCCACTTTTTTCTGTATATTTGTTGGGTGATAGGTTGTTGGCTGTTTGGTTGATAGGCCAGCGTTTCTTGTTGCTTATTCTTATTATTCTGGTCATCTAATCTTCAGTATCGAGCGTAGATGGCAGCTGTTGATAAATGTCTGTAGTTTGTTGGGAATGCTTTCCGTAACGCGCCGCTAAGTCTCTCAACCATCACAAAGAAGCACTGACTTACTTGACTCACATTAGTGTTGAGAATCCGAATGTTGTTCACACTTTATGCTGAGTGCAGTAGATTTCCACACTGACTTCAGGTTAATGAAGGCTTGTCTTCCTGTCTTTCCGATCCTGATTTTGACATAATCATCCGCGCCACCACGTGTAATTGAAACGATGCTACCTAGGTAGGTGAAAGAGACAACTTCCTTTAGATTTCTCCCGTTGATGGTGATTGGTGCTTCTTGTTGTTGTCGTTGTTGTTCTTGTTGGCTGGGTATCTTCATCACCTCTGTCTTCTCTACGTTCACCTTCGCTGCCTCGCCTCGCCTCGCCTCTTCTGTCAACTTATTAGTTTACGCCTGTAGATCTTCAAGTCTATGCGAGAAGACATTAGACATAAATCATCATCGGGGAAATCCAAATATGTTTGGGTTCGACCACAGTGCCCAAGTTTTACACCTCTCCTAGGGTCTTTTCATCGGTCAAACAGCGTATGCCCCTCTCTCCACTCCTCACAATTGTCTGTTGCATGATCCAGTTCACTACAATCAGGAAGACCATAGGTGGTAGTAGAGGGTAACCTTGTCTTACTCCTGTCTTCACTCCACTTCAGAGGCATCAGTGAGCTTTCCATTGTGAATCACTTGACATGTAGCACCCTCATATAGCATATAGGTACTGTTGAATGAGATTGATAAAGGTTTATGTCACTGAGAGTGTAGTGTTGAAGCAGGTGTGAAATTACTTGTCGGTTGACGCCTCGATGGAATGCGTTTTGAAGGTGAATGAAGTTGAGGTAAGATAGGTAGTTGACTGGGATTCAGTGCTGTTTTTTATGATGATGCGTAGTGTAGCGTTGGAATATGATCTTCACATGATTTGTTATTCCTGAATCAAGCCAGCCAGCCAGCCAGTTAGCGAGCCTGCCAGCGAGCCAGTTAGCCAGCCTGTTGTGGTTGTAATTTTGAATGGAGAGGAGTTTTTGGTCTGTCGAGGATGATGCGGGATAATATTTTGCTTGTTATGGGTGGATAGGAGCATGATTTTGGTGTTAGTTGTTGCAAAGACTGAGGTCAGCCTTGTTTTTGAGTTTGAGAAGGTAGTGGTTGTTGGAATGAGTGGGCAGTGGGTAGGTACCTTTCCTTCCTTCGTTCCTTCGTTCCTTCGTTCCTTGGAAACCTTCTGCAATATTGATGTGAGCATATCCAGTGTTGATGTCTCTGCGTGTGGTTCGAGTGGTTCTGGTGGGATTCCATGTGATCGTGCTGCTTTCCCGACTTTCAGCATGTTTATGGTGTGGTGTTCAAGACTTGTGGTTTTGTGGGAGGGTTTATGTTCACTGTTAGTTGTGTGGCTGGTGTGCTGGTGGTACTTTTGGATAAGTTGCACTTGGTGGTGAATATGCGATCTGTTCTCAGTCATTTTTAATACTGTTTAGATCTTCAAGAATATGATGCCTATTTATGCTTAATTTGGTCTATGTACAATCGTACCTGACTGATCCCGCCGAGCTCGAATCTTACTCCGTCTACGGATATTTGTGCAGCCGGGTAGTATCATCAGAGTTTACACAATCGGTGTGTGTATGGCTTATTGGCTACTGCACGCAGGTGTACATGATTTCTGTATCCATTTTGATTTTTTTTTAATCGATATATATCGGCCGCATTAAGGTTATGAGAATATTTTAAGTTGGTTTTGATCATGGAGTGACACCGAAAAGTCGTGATTAGTGGAGTAAACCTGGTGGTCATGAGGACAAATACTCAACGATGACACTCGGTGATGGTCGTGATATGTCATGAACTGACAGGACTTGGAAATATGAACCATTTGATTCCTATTCAAGTGGCTCAATGGTAACGCGCTGGCCACGGAACTTGAAAGACGTCGGTTCGATCCTTGGCGGGGTTTTGGGTGCAGACTGCTGAGGAGTCTCATTTTGGGACGAAACAGCCTTTGTCCACTGCTGCCAGTTTCTTACTGTTCCTCCAATCGATGTCAATTTATGATGAAAAGCAAGGTAAAATATCTCAAAGTCTGCATAAAGCCCCCAAATTCTTATGAGAATATTCTTGTGAATCCACTTAAATTTCAGTAAATAATGCAGTATTTGTTTCAGTAACTTTCTTACTGATGTATTTGATCAATATCATATGAAATAATTCTTTCCCCACGCCCTTCCCCCCCCCTCGTTGTTTTTGCCCCCTCCTCTCTCTCTCTCTCTTTTTAGTGTGATCCTAATCTCACAGTTCGTTGTGTTTTTATTGAATGTCTTAACACAAAGTTGCCTCGTATTGCACTCTACGCATCTAGATTTATTAGAAAGGGAGAAGAAATTACATTCGATTACAATATGACGGGTAATTCATTTTATTTAATACGCCTTAAAACCTAAGGTATATCTCATTGTTGTGAAATGTAATAAATTAATGCTTGATAAAAAGTCACTTACCTATTAAAAGACCTTGGTTGCATCATTTCGGCGTTACTTTGATGTTGACCTTATGTTCAGCAAGTAGTATCTACAACCATGATTTAAGGAGATGACCAATAACCATTAGGTCTCAGATTCGAGCCCCGTTCGATCTCCTGAGGTTGAGGCCCTGACAAACAATAAGTATGGCTCCATTACCTACTGCACGAATAAGCACAAGTCGACTCATTTGCATATCGCATGCTACGGTACAACCATGGGGATAATGATGTAATCCTGTGGATTTGAAATTCTGTTCTTTCCTTCTGTATGTTATCACAGACGGTTGTAAACTTTATGACTGCAAAATAGAATGTTTGATTCTGATAAATTCCCTTGGAAATTCCATAATGCTACAGCAGATGTTTTAGGGTACAGTGTTTTTATGGCTTGATGGACTCAATCAATCAATCAATCAGTCTGAAGAAACCTGAGTGCTGACAGAGTTGTGAGGGCAGTTGACACTTCCCGACTGCCCACACCGTGGAAGGCTATTTCTTCTTAAGGTACCTTAAAAGAGATTTGTGTGACCACAGAGCCCATCGGACATCTGCTTGAGGCCTGTCACACGAAGCCTTTTGAGTATGATTATTTTGAACTTTTGTGTTTTTGGGGTGGGATGGTCGAAAAGAAACGACAAGTGAACCAACACTGCCTGTCCGGCAGACCGTGGGGCATGGTGGAGTGTGTTATTTTGGAGGCCGACCTTTTCTAACGCCCCCCCCCTCTACTTCCAATGAGAAGACAGTATCAGCATGACACTTCTGGTCATCCAAGGGAAACACCTTACTGCTGTCACACCCCATCCAGCTAGGAGCAGTATGACTTCACCCTCAGACTCCCATCATAGTGTAACAATTGACATACAACGGTAACTGCTTTTCGTCTAACCACTATCCAACAGACCTTTGTGGTATGGTAGGACTTTGAGGGAACAAGCGTTCGACCAGCATAGCTCGTTGGGTCATTGTGATATGCCAGCCTGACCACCACGTAAATGTAGCAGCTATCGATCGGGGCTTGATGGACTACATTCCTCGATTGCCTGAAAGACTAGAAACAGTTTACTGTTTTTATCATCTGACTAACTATTTCATCTGCATCTTTTTATACTATATGAATAAGAAGTGTCGTTGTTGTTTTCTTTTTAGGTGCTGTTGCTGCAGACGGTGATGACGTAAGAGATGATCCTGAAGTAACAGAAATGCCATTATCAGATACACCGTCTAGTTCAGCAACTAGTAATGATAAGAGTCCAACTCCATCCACTTCTTCAGTTGATATCACTCCTGATACAGGTAGTGAGGTAAGTTGATATGTTTAAATGTAAATTATGTCTAACTATTATAATATTATATTCAGCTGATGGGTCCTTAATAGGACGAAATACACGTTACAGAATATTTGTGTAGTATACTTGCCTCTTCGAAGATCAATAGCTTCAAACTACTTAAACTTTACTACGATCTGTATATTTGAGATTTCAACATTCACACTGTTAAATAACCAACTGATATCAGTCATAATGGTAAAATAAAACTGGTACTCATTAGTGACTAGCTTCGAGAGTGATTTCCCAAAGTTCCAATGAAAAGTCGTGACCGGTGGGGACAAAGCTTGATGGTCGTGAGGACAGTAACTCAACGATGACACTGGTTGACGGTTGCGCTATATCGTGAGCTAACAGAAGTTGGAAATATGGACTGTGGGATTCTGACCCCAGTGACTCAATGGTAACGTTCTTGCCATGGAACCTGAAGGTCGTGGGTGCGCACCGCTTAGGAGTTGTATAGTAGGACAAGACAGCTGCTGTCCAGTGCTCCCAGGTTTCCTTTGTTCCTCCAACTGATGTCAGTCTACGATGAATAACAACTTAAAATAGATCCTTTAATATGAAATTATCGATTTCTTATTTTTAATTTATTAGTTATTTGTATCGCTATTCAATTGCTTCATGTCAAACAGGGGTGTATGATAATCCGTTTGTAGTTTTCATCTATTGTCTCATTGACTGAATGAAGTTGAACATAGAGTGTTGATCGTTTGCCATTGATATGATTTGACAGTAATACATTCCTAGGGAATAGATAAACACTTTTGGAATGATTAGAATTACCATCTAATCTTGTGACTATCATCATTATCATTAAATCAGTGGTCGGTACAGATAAATCATTTGGGGAGGGGTGGGAGAAGATTACTGTAGAACCACTGTCTTTATTAACTCCTTCTCTGTTAGTAAATTCGTGATTTGGAAAAAAAAAATCACAACTTGAAAACTTCTATAAGTTTTGCTTAAAATTGAAAATCCTGAGGTTAAATTTAATATGTAATCGACTCAACAAGTAGTAAAATTTGACAGAAGTTTTCCTACTAAATTGGCTCTGTGATTTTAACCATCATCATCATCATTATCAACATAGGACCAGGCATTACTGCGTAACGGTCCGAGTTGCCACACCTCATATCAGCACATCAAGTAAAAAGGTAGTGAGGTGAAGGATGAAGATAAGTGAATGCAGTCAAAAGAAATATAAAGTACGAGAAGAAAGGAAAGAGGAGTGACAAAATAGTGAGATTCGGTATAGCGTTGTTAAGATGAGGATAATGTGTGTATACATCTGCGCCACTGACTTCGGTTCTGAGCCATATCACCTAGGGTCTCCAACCACTGGTTCCTCTTGTCCCGTGGACCCCAACCACCTAGTCTGCATCGTCCTACATGGCTTAAACCAACAGTCAGAGACTTCATACATTGGTGCCATGTTTTAGTCTGGCCACCTCGGGCCTTTTTCCAGCCTGAACCCACCTCAGCCAACATTGTGTGACGAGGCAATCGGTGACTAGGCATACGTAGTACGTGTCCCAACCATCTCAGTCGATGAAGGTTCACAACCTCGTCGACTGACTTACCTCTTCTCCCTAAAACTCTACACCTAACTTCTGCATTACTCACATGGTGACACCACGGAATACGTCCTATACTACGAAGGCAACGGTGGTCAAACACCTGAACCCTTTTCATGTCTTCCACTTTCAATGGCCATGTTTCACAGCCATACAGTAGAACAGAGCGGACTGCTGTGCAGTACACGCGACCCTTAATAGACAAACGAATATCACGGCGGCGCCATAGGTGGCGCAAATTGGCAAAAGCCAATCGAGCCTTTTGTATCCGTGCAGAAATCTCATCGGCAACTAACCCACCGGGTTGATCCTACTTCCCAGGTAAGTGAAGTGGTCAACACACTCAACCACTTCACTCTCTATTGTTAACCGCGGTACCGCTGAAGACCAGTCCTGGAGCAAAAATTTGCATTTGGGTGGTGAAAATCGCATCCCAAACATTCTCAAATTCCCACTCAAAGTGTTCAGAAGACTCTGCATCTTGTCAGCGTCTTCACCTAACAGGACTATGTCATCTGCATATTCTAGATCTAAGGAAAATTCACCTGTGATCCGGTCAACGTCTTTGTAATTAGGTGACGAGAGGGAAACCTCCATAAGAATATCTATGATAAAATTAAATAAGAATGGGGATAGTGGGCATCCTTGACGGACACCACTTGATGAGTATAGCTCCCTGGACAACTCACCATAGGCTCTAACATGCCCACAAGTGTTCGAGTAGAGAGCTTTCAATAAGGTGATGTACTTACTAGGCACGCCTTTCAGTGACAGACACTGCCATAAGACTTCTCGATCAACGGAGTCAAATGCCGCCTTCAGGTCGAGAAATACAGCTATTGTCGGGCGTCTGTAAGCATGCCTATGTTCCAGGACCTGGCGCAGTGTGAATATTTGGTCGATACATCCACGGCCAGGTCTAAAGCCTGCCTGGTTTTCTCGGGCTTGCTGTTCCCGAGCTCCACTCAGGCGTCGGAGAATTATAGAACTTAGGATCTTAGACACTATGTTTGTCAGGCTGATTCCTCTGTGGTTATCACAAGAGGACTTCTCGCCTTTCTTGAAGACTGGGATGATGAGTGACTTAGACCAGTCGGAGGGGATCGTATTTGATTCCCATATACTGGCTAACACTTCCGTTAGCCTGACTAAGAGAACTCTACCACCATTCTTGTATACCTCAGCAGGTAGTCCGTCTGGTCCTGCTGCCCTTCCCGTTTCAGGCTACCTACCGCTTTCTCAACTTCTTCTAGTGTTGGGGGACCTGTCTCTATGTCCCATTCAGGGTCCGACTGGATAGCGGGCAGCGCAATGGTGGCTGGAGGCCAGTTAAACTGTTCCTCAAAGTGTTCTGCCCATCGTCCCAGTCGCCTTCCCTGCGAGTGAATCGCCGATCCGTCCTTCTCCGCTATAACCTCACTAACTGTTGTTGACCATTTCCCCCCAGTCTCCTTAATAAGTCTAAATAACTGTCTACTGTTACCGATCGCCGCTGCCTTTTCCATCTCTTTAGCCTTTGCTGCCCACCACTGTTCACGATCGTTGCGCAGACTTTTCGTCAGTTTATTTTTAAGTTGCGCTCGCTCTTCATTGTACTCAGAGCCTGCAGGGATGCATTCACGTGCATCCATTAGTTTGGAAGAAGCTGCTGATATCCACTGGCTCTTTTTAGCCATTATCTTGGAGTCGGCTACAGTCTCCAGTGCTGCTTTTACAGTAGACTGAAGATGGCACCAAGCTTCTTCTGGATGAGTGACAGTCTTTTGTTCCGATAACTGCCTAGCCAACTTCTCACTGAACACGGCTTTGGTGTTTTCGTTGTCCAGCAGAACTCGTAGTGGTTTTGTTGCCAAATTTTTTCTACGTCCATTGAGACGCAGGCATATACGTGCTCGGACCAACGCATGATCGCTGTCCAAACACGTACTCCAGAAGGAGCGGCAGTCTTCCACCGATCCTCTCCAGCGATGACTAATAGCAATGTGGTCTATCTGTGTCCATCGCTGAGTCGAGCTCGGTGGACGCCAGGTCAGACAGTGCCTTTCTTTATGTCTGAAATTTGTGCTGGCTAAAAATAGGCGGTTATCTGAGCATAGTTGTAATAGGCGATCACCGTTATCTGTACGTTCAGCTGGGATTCCGAAAGTGCCACCTAAGTGCCTTTCTGCCTCACTCAGTCTACCCACCTGTGCGTTGAGGTCACCTGCAACAACCACTACGTCCGAACGTTTGGCTTTCGAGAGGAGGTTAGACAGTTTATGGTAGAACTCGTCCTTCACTTCATCCGAACTACAGTCAGTGGGTGCGTAAGCAGAGATTACAAAGAGACAACGGCGAGTCTCACTATTCCTTTTAGTTCTCACTGTGCCGTTCAGCCTCATAGCGCAGAGGCGACTATCAACTGGGATCCAGTCTAGTAGTGAGTTTTCTGCCCTGGTGCTTAATGCTATACCTACACCTGCAAGACCACGAGAGCTAGCTATCGAATCTCCAGAAACTCGAAGGGTGAATTTTGCAGATTCACCAGATTGGTCAGGAGAGGTCAGGTGAATAACCACACTTGGGTCCTGTATGCGTGTCTCACAAACACAGCACACATCCATGCCCGAGTTGCTAGAGTCTTTGCCAACGAAGCCTGTTGGCCAATTTGACGGAGGGTGCGGACATTGAAGGCTCCAATATGTAATTTGGAGCGTGGTTTAAGGAGACCAGGGATGCTGTTCTGTGGACTCAGATCGTTGTCGAAGGCTGCAGAGGTAGGAGAAATTGAAGATGATGCAGCATCATTAATTAAGAGACGTGAAGGAAGATTAGAAGGTAATGATGGAGGAGGAGGATAGCAGTCAGAAGAAACTTGGGTGCTGACAGAGTTGTGAGGGCGGTTGACACTTCCCGGCTGCCCACACCGTGGAAGGCTATTTCTTCTTAAGGTACCTGAAAGAGATTTGTGTGACCGCAGAGCCCATCGGACATCTGCTTGAGGCCTGTCACACCCAGCCTTTTGAGTATGATTATTTTGAATTTTTGTATTTTTGGGGCCGGATGGTCGAAAGGAAACGACAAGTGAACCAACACCGCCGGCCCGGCAGACCGTGGGGCGTGGTGGAGTGTGTTATTTTTGGGGCCGACCTTTTCTAACCCCCCCTTCCACTGAGAAGGCAGCATCAGCTTGGCACTGCTGGTCATCCAAGGGAAACACCTTACTGCTGTCACACCCCATCCAGCTAGCAGCAGTACGACTTCGCCCTCAGACCCCCATCATAGTGTAGCAATTTACACACAACGGTAACTGCTTTTCGTCTAACCACTACCCAACAGACCTTTCTGGTATGGTAGGACCTCGAGGGAACAAGCGTTCCACCAGCATAGCTCGTTGGGTCATTGTGATATGCAAGCCCG